CAGAAACCTTTCCTGGCCAACCTGGAGGTAGCAAAATTCAACAACAAGAGAAAGAAACAGTCGAAAAAATAGTGAAATTTCCCCCGATAATAGCAAACAACATCAATAAGTATGAAGAATTGCGCTATACACTCGCAAAAAAATAATATTTCCTTTTAAGTCACAGCTCTAAGCAATAACAAATTTAAAATTAATCCTCAACAAAAAGAAGACTTCAAAAATGTCCCATCAACCTTGAATGCCAAAAAAATAAATTGGCATTCTTATGAAATTAAACAGAACAGAGACATTAAAGTAATGGTTAGAGGTCTACCATCTACATCTAAACCAGAAGATATTGTTAAAGATTTGCAAAGTCAAGGATTAAAATGTAAAGAAACTGTCAATAAAATAAAGAGGGAAGTAGAATTAACCGAGGATAACACAGTAGTAAACGAAATAAAAAATCATTGCCGCTAATAATGCTATCCTTCGAAAATATTGAAGACATCAATGACATCTATAAAATTAAACCAATACTTAATCTAAGAGTTGGAATAAAAACCATAAGAAAGGCAAGGCAAAAACTGCCAGCAATTTGGACATACACACAACTTTTGCAAAAGAGAATCAAGATGTGTAGGAAAACTTCATACGAAGTATTGCGGAAAAAGTCCAGAACAACAATCGAAATGTGTGAACTGCCTAATGGAACATCCTGCTAATTATAGAGGATGTGAGGTAGCTAAAACCTCTCAGATAAGAAAGGATAACACCACTAAACTTAAAACAATGACGAGGCAGAGGAGACCCATAAACGCTTTTCCTACTGTCATAAATTAAATAACATATTCTCAGGCAACAAACTCACAGGAGCACCCAATTCAAAGGTCACAACCAGCTATGAATCCCACACCACAAATTGCACTCATAAATTATTATTATTATTATTATTCTTAATAACCAGAATAGATTCACTCTCTGACAGGCTCCAGAAGCTAGAAGAATTAAGAAGGTCCTTTCGCCACACCTCTCGCCTCAAATATTAAAAAAAAATATTAGATTATGACTAAAATTATTTTTTTTCTAATAGTTGAAGTCCTTATTTATCTAATACTGAACTTTTAACTATACCTTACCTTGGAAATTTTTGAGAATTTTTTTTTTAAAAATGTGAGTATTTGTACAGTGACTCACGAGAAAGTAAGTCCTCAACAACAATTCTCGAATTATACTATTATTTATTGATTAGATGGAGTAGAAAAAAACTAAAAATAAGGTTTTTGAAATATTTAGATTTTGTTTTATACAATAAAATATATATAGTAAACCGTGGAACTTGAAAAAAGGCTCCCTAGATAATATGTCGACATTCTACAATCAATTCTAGTGGGAAGAATGTTTAGAGTAAAGCAAGAGGAGGCATACTCCGAAATGAAAGAAATTATAGCAGGTGTCCCACAAGGCAATGTGCTAGGGCCGTTTTTTACTTATACACCAGTGATATCCTTCAACAACAATATGTTAAAATAGTAACAATTACGAATAATACTGCAATATTGGTAGTTGGCGGAACTAATACAGAGACCTTAGAAAAAATTCAGAAAACCTACAACAGAATCAATCGGTAGACAAAAAAGAGGAAAATAAAAATAAATCGAACTAAATCAGTGCATGTTGATTTTACTCTTCGACAAAATGAACAAAAACAATTAAGAATAAACAATGAAACAATGAAATACCTAGGGATAAACCTAGATTTACGACTTAAATGGAAAAAGCATATAAAAAAAAGAACTTGAACGTTAATTCAAAAAAATGTATTGGCTCCTAGGAAAAAATACAAATTGTTAGTGTACAACAAACTGCTGATTTATAAACAAATCCTAAAACCAATCTTGATTTAGGGCATACAGCTATGGTAATGTGCCAGCAAGAGTAATATCAACATGTTACAAGTTTTCAAAAATAAAATTCTAAGATGCATCGTTGATGCACCTTAGTTCTATCGAAACAATTATCTTCATAGAAACCTGAAGATGCCTACAATCGAAAAAGAAATAAAGAGGTTTTCTGCGAAACATGAGGGCCGACTCTACTCCCACGTGAACGAAGAAGCGCTGGAATCACTGGACAAGTCTATACTCAACAGAAGGCTCAAAAGGAAGAAGCCATTTGAGCTAGTGCAGTGAACCTTAATTTTAGTGCTAGTGTAAAGCAGTAGAATATATCGTCATGCTAACTTGTGATGCTTTTCTTAGATAGGTAATTGGTTTATTAGATTTTTAGATTAAAATTTTAGGTTAGTCAATAATGACTGGTAAAAATAGTCTAACCAAAAAAAAAACCTTGCATGTACAATGTTTTGTTCAAATTGTGATAAATTTAATTTAAAAAACGACCTGTTTCAGGAATTTTCTTAGAAATTTTGACTAAAAATTAAATTATTTCATTCTTTGCGAACACACTGTATATGAAATCAATTTATAAGAACATTAAATACAGACAACTACGTGTAAATATATTATAAAATAACTAGATGGTTGCCAGCGGCTTTGCACGCGTGGAGTCGTATTTTTAGTATAAAAAAATGCATGAATTTCTAAAAAAAGACGCGATAATACCAAATTGCACGCAGTACTTATTTTTATTTTTTTTGTTTATTTTAATTTATTTTTATTTATTTTATTTTTATTTATTTTTATTTATTTTTATTTATTTTTATTTATTTTTATTTATATTTATTTATTTTTATTTATTTTTATTTATTTTTATTTATTTTTATTTATTTTTATTTATTTTTATTTATTTTTATTTATTTTTATTTATTTTTATTTATTTTTATTTATTTTTATTTATTTTTATTTATTTTTATTTATTTTTATTTATTTTTATTTATTTTTATTTATTTTTATTTATTTTTATTTATTTTTATTTATTTTTATTTATTTTTATTTATTTTTATTTATTTTTATTTATTTTTATTTATTTTTATTTATTTTTATTTATTTTTATTTATTTTTATTTATTTTTATTTATTTTTATTTATTTTTATTTATTTTTATTTATTTTTATTTATTTTTATTTATTTTTATTTATTTTTATTTATTTTTATTTATTTTTATTTATTTTTATTTATTTTTATTTATTTTTATTTATTTTTATTTATTTTTATTTATTTTTATTTATTTTTATTTATTTTTATTTATTTTTATTTATTTTTATTTATTTTTATTTATTTTTATTTATTTTTATTTATTTTTATTTATTTTTATTTATTTTTATTTATTTTTATTTATTTTTATTTATTTTTATTTATTTTTATTTATTTTTATTTATTTTTATTTATTTTTATTTATTTTTATTTATTTTTATTTATTTTTATTTATTTTTATTTATTTTTATTTATTTTTATTTATTTTTATTTATTTTTATTTATTTTTATTTATTTTTATTTATTTTTATTTATTTTTATTTATTTTTATTTATTTTTATTTATTTTTATTTATTTTTATTTATTTTTATTTATTTTTATTTATTTTTATTTATTTTTATTTATTTTTATTTATTTTTATTTATTTTTATTTATTTTTATATTTATGAGAGCCTACAATTCCAATTTTCAAGTACCTACCTTTAAAAAAAATCGATACTTTTTAATAAACTTTCATCCCTGGTTCTACCCCTCAAAATGTAAAAATCTAAAAACCCTGAAACACGTTATTATTAATTTGTATTCAGTAGCTGCAATTCCAATTTTCATGTTTCTAACTTTAAAGAGAACCAAAAACATGAATACTTTAAAAAACAAATTCACCCCCTCATTTCCTCCCCTTAAAATGTGAAAATCCAAAAACCCTGAAACACGTCATTAATAATTTGTAGTCAGTAGCTGCAATTCCAATTTTCATGTTTCTAACTTCAAAGAGAACAAAAAAATCGATAGTCCCTTATAAACTTTCAACCCCCGTTTTCCCCCATTTAAAATGTGAAAATCCAAAAACCCTGAAACACGTCATTATTTATTTATGCTTAGTAGCTGTAATTTAAATTTTCATGTTTCTAACAAACAAAGAGTTTTATTAAAAGCTCCCTCCCCCCATTTCCTCCCATTTCTTCCCTTTAAAGTTGAAAATTTAAAAAATTCTTTCTTAGCGGATTCTTACATTATAAAATAACCCTTTGTTCCAAGTTTTAGCTTTCTAGGCTCAGTAGTTTTGGCTGTACGCTGATAGGTCAGTCAGGACAAACAATTTTATTTATAATGATTATGCATTTATCGTTTATATATATATAATTTAAATTTCAACTGAAACGTTTTAATCTACAGTGTGGTCCAGTTTATTTCGTCAGAATTTCACCAGCTAATAGTTTATTAAAAAATATAAGTACTTCGTCCAATAAATTATGGTCCAATTTTGATTTATTTTTAATGTAAAGGGTTCAGGTATTCACGCAAAATTTTTAGTTCTAATTTTTTTCCTCAAAAATAAAGTAAGATACGACAAAAAACCTATGAAACAAAAAAGTTGTATTAGATTTGGTTGATTTAATTAAAACTATTTATAAAAACTTCAAAAAATGTACTGTGAGCACACCTACTGAATCAACTGTGACATGTTCGAAAGACACCTCATAAAATTGTCAATATACTGTGAAAACTTCATTATAATGGGTCACAACTTTTTTTAGACATTAATGAAAACTATTAAAAAAGTTTTAACATCCTGTACAACAAAATTGAACTATATTTTATCAAACAAAGTACCTTTATTATTTTGATAATCTATCTGCTGACGATATAATCTAAAACACCTTGTATATTTCAAATAATAACTATTTTTCTAAGTAGAACCACCCAAATACGAGTACATTCCTGTAAACTTTTTAAAATCACTTAATTAACTATCACTTAGAGAGAATTAGAGATCGCAACAAAAACTCTACAGTCCATGATAAGCGTATTAAAACGAAACTTTTTTTTCACTTTCTTCAATAAAAAAATAAAACATTTCACTTACTATGACTGATTTCATCGTGGATATAGTTTAAGATATAGCAGACTGATGGTAAACTTGTTATTTCCGAGGTTCTTATACTTTTCTTCTGGCGGCGTGAATTACAATTCTAATAGTGAAAGGCTTTCTATGGTGACCTGTTACTTTTTAAGTTCTATAATCTTAATAATGAGATGACCGATACAGATTATTTCATAATAATACGTATATCTATTTGAGTTGTTAATTAACAAGTAGATCAAAGAACAATTGGATGATTAAGGGAGTAGTAACTCTATGTATTAAAACCGTATGTGTAGAACAAAAGTTAAATTGACTGCTTTCCGAATATGTAGTATTTAAAATTTTTGGTCAAATAATAGATAAAAGTCTAACTTAGGTTGTCTTACTATTGAAAATCAATATATTTATTATTTATAATAAAAACTAATCGTGTAAAACAACCCCATTTTATTTCATCTAAAATGTGCCGTTTAAAACTATTTTAACCTCGATTTAAAACGAATATGAAAAAAATTAATAGTAAGATGACCTAAGTTTATCCTTTTTCTACAATTTGGTTCATCCGGGATATTTAAATATTGTATATTTTCCGAAATCAGTCGATTTGAAATTGTTAAATCACTAATTTGACTAAAAATGGTGGTTAACCCATCCCTTTATCTAATAGTGAATTTATTTGTTACACTAGGTGTAAGTTTTCTGCAATAATCGCATTAAAATTGTTCAGTGTAGCTTCAAATATTTGACACATACTTGAGTGTAGCATCAGGGCTGATATATCTAAGGGGGGTCGCGACATAGCGTAAAATTTGAACGCTATTTTTTCCGAAATAGTAGTCGCCAGGCCTGCCAATATAAGAAAAATAATATCACCGTTTTTTTTTAAATGAAATTTTCATTATAAAATGCCCATATTTTTTAGGATTAAATATTTCAATTTAATAAATTATTAATAATCTCACATGTACATAGAATACGTCATAAAAAGTAGATCACTTTTAATTTTGTGCTGTTTTGGTTTGATTTATTTTAAATGGTAATTGAAAAGATGAAGACAATTTTCTTATAGATGAGGATGCATAACAAATTATGATTCCCTTTTTTAAAGCTTCAGTACCCTATTTATTTTAGGTCTTCTTAAATTGTTGGTAGGTATTATTCACCTCATTTGTATGTTTTTTTTAATTTGAATAATTTTGTGTAATATCTTGCGATTTGTTTTATATACATTTTAGCATGTATTTGTTCGCTACATCTTACAAAGGATGGCTTTGACATACCTTTACAACAGAAATACTCTCCTAAAACTGGCCGAAATTTGAAACTGATTACAGTTCTTACAGAAACTCTACAGTAAAAAATGTCTGCATGCAGAATAACAGTAGCATATGTTAACAAAGTTAACAAACGAGATAGACAAACCTTTGTCTAAACTCAAACAAATAATGATTGAGAGTGAACCGTGTTGTCATATCTCAATTTTACCTTACTAGTTTTTAGCAGAATCAAAATAGAGTAAGTAGTAGAGTTGTAAGTTGTGGCAAATTATAGATAATATACATTCATAGTACTAATAAAAGATATTAATTATAACAAAAATCAGTAATGAGTAATACTTATACATTTCTTGATCATTTAAAATTAATTATTTTATGGATTGTTCAGTATTTGTTACAACTAATGGCATCGGTGTACGGAGCGATATTTGTGTCTTTGTCTGTTACGCGTAAAATCCATCTCGTCGATGACGTTCTCAGTAGTGTATTTCTAACCACGAGCGTAACATCGGGTTTTGAATTATACGGTGTGAATTGTAAGTTTTACAGTTAAGTTAGTAAGTAATCGACGTGTTGTAAGAACAATTGGTGAACATATTAGTGCTAATAAGTGTTTAAACATTAAATAATAATATTTCTACACCGTTCTAAAACTATGCAAAAAATGGAAGACATAGAAGGGCCTTCAACGTCGAAAAAGGTAAAACGGTCGAAGTCTCGGTCGCTAAGTGAAAAACAAATTGTACTTCGAGTATTTCACTGTCTTGAAAGAGATCATCAGCGACCAAAAGATAACTTAGTGCATATGTGCTGTAATTCTACGGATGTACCTCCGAATAACCAACCGGGCGTTCCAACATCATTAATTTCCACAATTACAAAAGATAAATTAGTTGATATGTGCTCTGATTATACGGGTGTACCAAAATCATCAGTTTACAAAATACTAAGAGAAAACAAAATTCATGGGGAAGTACAAACGCCAAAAACTAGTAGCGGAAGAAAAAAAATCACAGTTGATGAAGAAACCAAAAACAGTATACGCACAACTATTCACAGTTTCTTTTTCAGAAATGAGCTGCCCACTTTGCAAAAATTTCTGGAGGCAGTTAGCGATCATGAATTGGTCCCACAAATGAGTAAAGAAACTTTGAGGAAAATTTTACACGAAATGAAATTTACGTACGGAAAAGTCGACAGGAAAAGCATTCTCATTGAACGTCAGGAAATAGTAGTATGGAGAAGAAATTATCTCTGAAAAATTGAGGAATTTCGGAATATAAAAAAAAAATTTACTACATGGATGAGACGTGGGTTAACCAAGGACATACGGTCAAAAAAGTATGGCAGGATGGTCATATAACAAGTGCACGACAAGCCTTTATTAAAGGCTTGTCAACTGGGTTAAAACAGCCGTCTGGAAAAGGTAGCCGTCTGATAGTTACGCATATAGGAAGCGACAGTGGATTTTTACCAAATGGTGAATTAATATTTAAATCCAAGAAAACAGGCGACTATCATGAAGAGATGAATGCGGAGGTGTTTAAAAAATGGTTTGAAGGCATCATTCAACTTGTGGAACCTGGGTCTGTCGTCGTCATGGACAATGCCCCATATCATAGTCGGTATTTAGAATCATTACCGAAACAATCATGGAAAAAACGAGCAATTCAAGAATGGTTAATTAATAAAAACATCCAATATAAAAAAGATAGTTTAAAGGCAGAACTACTTCAGTTAACAAAATTACACAGAGACAAATATAAAAAATTCGCAGTGGATGAAATGGCGTTAAGTCGTGGAATTACAGTATTAAGGTTACCACCGTACCACTGCGAATTAAACCCAATATAATTAATCTGGGCGCAAGTAAAAGGATATGTGGCACGAGAAAACAGAACATTTAAATTAGTGGACGTGCAACGTTACCTACAAGAAGCCATTCAAAATGTTTCTGCAGAAGACTGGAAGAAATGCATTCAGCATGTTTTAAAAAAAAGAGCAAAAAATGTGGGACGTAGACAACCGTATTGAACACAATATTAAACCAATCATAATTAACTTTGATGATAGCGGTAGCAGCAGTGACGAATCTGAGGTTGAAGATTAGAAGAAAATTTGTACACAAAAAGAAGTCTATATATTTAGGTATAATTTTTATTTTTACCATTCACTATTACCATTTAGAAATTATTATATAAATTTGTATGTTTAATTCCTGTACACAGACATGAACAATGTCTCAGCAGGATACAAATGTTTATTTATTTAATTATTATTATTGTATCAATTTGTACATTGTTACATAAATTTGAAATAAACATTATTATTATTATGTTTGGCGGTCAAGAAAACATAATCCTGTAGGTTATATCCAAACTAATTATCTTACTTAGGGATTTCCGAAATGATAAGTGCGTGTAAACTTTTATGATTTAAGTACCAATCAAATAGTAATTTAAGCTTTATAATGTCTTTTAATGTTGGCCGAACCCAATTAGAGTTTCTTGGGTAAGGCTGGCTAGTTTCGAGGAACTGCAGGTAAACCGGGAGAGAGAGAGAGAGATATATATAGAGGTATGCTTTATTGTCATTGAAAAATTACAAAAATTTTATAGACAAAGCGAAGTAAATTAAAAACTAAATATAATATAAAAAGATTAAAAAATATAAAAATTTAAAAATAACTAAACAAAACAAAATAAAAATATCAATTGCATTGGATATGCAATATCCGTCATTATGATTTTAATTTAAAATTTAAGTAATACTTTTGTATGTGTAACCCAAGAAGAAACTTAAGAGACAGTTCCTTACTGACTTCGGCCGCGACATAATATATAAATATACGTTAATTTGTGAAATAAAGTTAAATTCATTATTAAAATAGTAAAATTGATAATATTGTTTCTGTCACCAAACCAACCCCTGATTAGGTATCTTTCTTATTTTTAATTTGAAATATATATTGTGATTTTTATTAATATTCTTAATTTATTTGGTTCCTACTATAATTACCACAATTATTACTCCGTTTTCATAAAGCCCCACTAATGACTACAACGATTAGGTAAATTACGATATTGCAAAGTTTTCATGAAATAAATAAAAGAAATTGTATGAATATTTTAAATAATTGTACCCTCTCAAAAATAATAAGCACGCCTCCGATTTGGTCGTATTTCTACCTGCTTTCACTCTCAATCATTATTTGTTTGAGTATAGCTTTTTTAATATTTCAAGGCAATAGACCACAACAAGAACAACCAGTTTAGTAATCAAGCAAAATATTTCAGTATCTACAGAATTATAAACGTATGAAAACTATAATGGGAAACATGTATGGCCCCAGCTAAATTAGTCTTCTTCCGTCTCATAATGATTATAGTAAAGGTTAATTACTTATTAACATAAATAAAGAAAAGTTAAAACTGTGACTTTATTTTAATATCACATCTTTGTAAAGTTAATTATTATTATTTTTTTATTGTAGATTTCCTTTTCTTGATGTGATAAAAAGAAATAAATGCTTCCAAAATTTAGAAAGTCAATAAGTGACCACCTAAATAACTTTTTATTACAGACCTCAGGGGAGAAAAATATTAAACAAAAATGCAATTTCAGTAAATTTTGACGTTACTATCCTCATCATAAAAACTTAAGTTTCTTTTAAAAAAATGTTTAAGAAAAAAAGCAATGCCACTTTTTGTTTTTTTTTTAAACTGTAATTTAATCGACTAATTTTGTGTATTGTTT